GCCATATGTGCCCTACACAATATTTCTTGGCCACGTTCCCCCTTTTGGATAAATCGTCAGTTTAAACGGGGGGTGGGAGGGGGGGGGAGATTGAGTGGCTTATTATTAATTCATCTTTTTTTTTTTCTTAAATCCCCTTTTTTCCTTCCTCTGAGGTATTTCGACGATTTGCCTCACGACAACTGCCAGTCACCCTTGATGGGTTCATCCTGTTTGTACACGCAACAAACGCAACCATTTGCTTTTACATCAGTATTATTAACATGGCATTCATTGATCCATCATGGTACACAATTGGTCAATTAGTACGTACCTAATTGATTGCGTAAGGCCTACATAGAGGGTGGGGGGTGGCGGAGGATGTTGTCGGTGTGTGTGTCTGCCTTTGTTGTTTTCTGTGTGTTGTTAAAGAGTGCTGTTTTAAGTGTATGTGTAAGGCCAATGTTTTGGAGAAAAAAAACATTAAATCTCAATGTTTCCCAAAAAGATTTTATGGACTGACAAGATGTAAGTTGAACTTTTTGGAAGGAAGGTGTGTGTCTCTTAACATCTAGCCTAAGTGTAACACAACATATCAGAAAAACAACATTATACTAACAGTCAAACATGGTGGTGGTTGTACATTGGTCCGAGGCAGTTTTGGTGCTCCAGGACCTGGACGATGTGCTGTGATTGATGGAACCCTGAATTTCTGCTCTTTACCAGAAAAACCTGACGGTGAATGTTTTTGGGTATCTGTTTATGACCGCAAGGTGAAACGAACTTGGATTGTCCAGCTGGACAACCACACAAAGCAAGTGTTCTATTTAGACTGTTTTTTGAATTTTGGGTGTTTGTTTGAAGTTTGAGTGCTCTTTGTGTCTTTTTGTGTGTGTGTGTCTGTGCATGTGTGTGCATGTGTTATACTCTATGTCTGCTCTGTGGGGGTGTTGTATACATTTTGACATCTTGTATTTGCCACCGTCAGATCAAGAAAGTACCATTTGCATTGTCTGCATTGTGTGTGAGAAGTATGCATTTGAGTTGTGTTGTCTGGTGTTATTTTTTGGGGTTTTTTGCATGTGTTATGTGTGAACATTGTTGACATGTGCAATGTGCTGGCCCGTGTATGATTTTTATATATGTATTCATGCTAATGCGTGTGTGTGTGTGTGTGTGTGTGTGTGTGTGTGTCTGTGCCGTGTCTGTGCCATATGCGTTGAATGTGTCTGGTGTAAGCGTGGCAAGTGTGTCTTTTGTAAATGCGTGTATTTTATGTATAGATGCGTGTGGGCGTGTGTGGGTGAGTGAATGTGTGGGTCTATATGAGCATATTGTGGAGTATGTGCTAGTGCGTATCGGTTGTACGTGTGTGTTGTAGGCTACATTTTTTTGTCGTGTGTATGATTTGCAATGTGTGATTTGTACTTCACATTTTTGCCTTACGTACTGAATATTGGTAATGATGCTATTGGCCTTACATAGAATTTCATTACATCGACACACTACAGGTCTATTACGGCAATTTTACTATTTCATGATCAACGTAACATAAACATCCTCATAGAGTCTGAGGAAGTGAACTACGATATTTTTTGATTTGTATGACAAGTATGCTTCGGTTGCACTGTTTCTTTTTTTGAGGTCGTGGGGGGGTTCTACATATAATTAAAACCACACGAGCCGCTTTCGGGAGCATTCTGTTTGTTTGGCCGTTTTGATTTATTTAGAATAATCCCAAAAGATGAAGGTCTTATTTGTTTATGCGGCCCCGCCATTGATCTGATGGATTTATGATGGAACACAAGGGCAAACACCTAAAAGGACGAGACATCTTCAAATTGTATCATTAGTCGCCTCAAGAGGATCTTGAGTGGAAATTATTGAGCTAAAAAAGTGTGTGATTACACTTTAATACCATCATCAATTTGTCATCATATTCCTGCCTTTAAAAGTGCTTATGAATCATGCACTTGACATCAAGGTATTAAAAAAAAAAGAAAGGAAATGGGGGGGGGGGTTGACTCGCCTCACACAGCCGGGAGCATTATACGTTGGCGCCCCCTGAGTGCGCCTCGGGGTATTGCCGGAGAGCGGACCACCGCCTCCACCTCTCCGGCGGGATGCTGAGCAGAACAAGGCCGCGTCAGGAGCCTCCTGAGTCGGCTTCGGCCGGCGGGCGGGGCCGGAGGTGGAACCTGAGATGGAGGAGAAGATTGTTTGGCAATGAGAGCATCGACGTGTGTGATAGAGGTCATAAACGCTCAATTCGGTTCAATATTTACAATGATCTATGAAAATAAATCGACATACTACTTGGTAGCGGGCCACCGTCAGTCCATAAGTGTCGAGATGCAGAGCTGAGCGAGGCCGTCGGAGGAGCTTCCGAGTGTTCGGGATGGGGAAGGTTGAGGCAATTCGAACGTAATAAAAGATCGATGTCGGTCACTATTATTTATGGCTTATGGTTTTCAACGTTTGGCAAGAAGGGAGTGCACCTCAAAACGTGGCCTTGGACTTGCGTTACGAGGCTCCTGGGCCGGCTGGTGGACCACGGCTTGGCCGCGCACACTTGAGATGTACACAGTAATAACTTGAGGCAAAGTGAGCGTGAGAAAATCCCCATTTGAGTTTACGTTCGTTAGAACGCATGAAAATTAACAAAGAGTTTCGGCTTGAACGAGCCGCCGCCGTAACACTCCTGCGGGACTCTTGAGCCAAGACGGGCCGCTTGCGGAGTCCCCTGGGCCGGCTGCCGCTCACGGGCTGGATCGGCGCTCGGATCGGGTATCTGCAGGCGGAGAAGCTTCATATAAAAAGACCCCACCTGGCGATTTGGCATCGTGTGATGAGTGACTAAATTGGTACGCACACAGTTCGTGGACCACCACCAGTCCGGCAGGATACGACGCAGGACATGCCGGCTGACGGGTCGCCCGAGCCGGCTTCCGTTGGCGGGCGGCACCGGTGCAAGGAGGTGGAACCTGGATGGGGAGGAGAAGGTTGTTCTGACTTGATCAAATGTCTATTTACCTCCGTCTTCATTATGAGAGGGTTAAGAAAATAAATAGGAGCAAGAAGACATTTCCCGGGTGAAATTAGACTTAAAATTCGATTTCCCCAAAGTGAGTTAGTAAGCATCAAGGCTTTTGATGAGAATTACAATAATAATGAGGGGTGGAGGCGGGTTGAAGGTGGGCACGGGTGGAGTGGGAGGGGGGCGGGGGGGGGGTTCCCATCATAAGAGGCGTCAAGCGGCGGTCGGCCAGTGAAGAGTTAAAAGGAGGAGACGCGGAGTGACACGCCTCATTGGGGAGATTATGCGCGGCCAACAAAACCCGCGCGTCGCCCCGCGAGTCGTCCACAGCGTCCCAACACGTCGCCCGCGCGCGCACCACCGGGACGGAGCGCGACGCGTCCTGCTTCTGACACGTTGAGGAAACAAACGCAACGTCCTTCCCTTTTTTTTCCCCCCCTTTGCAGGCTTTGCTACTTACTTATTCGTCGCTTCTTGTGGCTCCGCTCCGGGTTGTGGATTATTTGGTTCCGAATCTGCGTAAGAGGTAGGGGCTGAAGACACAACAACAGCAACAACAATCATCATTATTATGATAATAATAATAATAATAATAATAATAATAATAATAATAATAATAATAATATTAGCATGATGATAGGGTTGGGGGTGTCAAAAGGCTGATTGGCCGAACAGGGGTCCGACTCGTCCTCGAGCACCCCGAAACCGTGATTCTGATCACGGCTGTGATGCACCGCGGGGAAGCTTACTCGTCTCGAAAAGCAATCGGGTTCCGTGCGGAGTCATATCAAATTCCGAATCCTTTTTTTTTTTCAGTTTGTGTCAAAGCTAGAGAGAAGTATTACATTGATGATGAGGATTTTTTTTTTAAATAACGGTGTTTCCTCGTGTATTGCATTTTAAATCGATATATTTTCCGCCGTTCTACCGGCATCGAAATCCCCGCAAAACGGCAAATTCTAAATCGTATTTTCACACAAAACCGCATCATTTCGACACTCGTTCCGCGATTCAAATGAGTTTTATTTCATTTGAAATAAACGCTCGAATAAATAAAGCGAGGATTTTTGTTTCTTTTGAAACCTTGAAATGTCTTGTTGGTAGTTGTGATGACATTTTACGCGTGGGTCAGGTGCAAGTTTACGCGAAGGGTTTCGCGCTGGGGGAGAAAGAAAAAGAAAAAGAAATAAATCATCATCATCATCATCATCATAATGAAGCGTCGGTGCTGCTTTAATTACTCTCTCCCATGTCGGGTGGGAAGTGGCGGATTATGCAAATGAGGCTGGTGTAAGAAGCGAGGAAAAGAGGATAAAAAAAAGAATGGATGACTTTATGACGGGATCAGGATTAAACTGTAACATTTTTATTATTCTCAAAGAATTAAAATCCCGGACGTGCTTTTGTAACACTGCCCGGAACCCAGTCGCCTGCAATAATACATCTCTTAAAAATATCCATATATATATATGTGCAAATAAAATGGAAAAAGATGCAGCAATGTGATTTCAAAAATGTTTGGTTCATTACAAAAATACACTCAGGATGCCATTGACAGCGACTCCACGCAATTGATTTGAAATTGCACGCGATAATTGTGCAGACTTGTTTGCCTTAAACTGAATAATATTGCACCGAATAGAATAGAAAATAAATCCTATGCGTGGGCCCTCAACGCACATTCCAGCTTACTGGGGAGTTATTATTTGCAATGCAATTTACACGTGAGGCAAATCCCAATCAGAGCCATTTCAGGGGTTTGTACGGGTCCGTGCGTATTTGGAACGGACTTTTTTAAACGTGTAAAAACAGAAATAATAGCTCGAAGAATTGCAACGTTAATCGTCGACCCGTGTGTTTTTAAACAAATGTTTGGAACCAATGTTATGAGCTCTTGTAGCTGGTTAAAAAGTCACGAAATCATCAATATATTTTCATTGTTTTATTCATGCCAATGCTTTTGCAACACGGCGATGCCGTGATGAGGTTGAAATTGCAGTGACGTTTGTTTTTTTTCCCCCCTTTTTGGGTGTCTGGAGAAGCGCTTTAAATGTCTCCTTCGTGATTATTGTCATTGTTTTTCTAAACATTATTCGGCGTAGAGGGAAATACAAACACTTTTCAGGTGTTTAGATGAACCAAACCAAAATTTTTATTTCTCTTCTGTGGAGCACGCGCAAAGGAGGATCTATTTTATTTTATTTTATTTTATTTTCTTGCGCTTCCTTAATGCATGTGAATACGCGCTTGTGTGCGACGCAGAGGTCGGCGGCCATGGAGGAGTCGAGCTCGCAGCACAAGGCGCAGCTGTGGGACGGCGACGCCAAGGCGGTGCAGCAGTGTCTGACCGACATCTTCACCAGCGTGTACACCACCTGCGACGTGCCCGAGAGCGCCATCTTCGGGCCGTGCGTGCTCAGCCACACGTCCATGTACGACAGCATCGCCTTCATCGCGCTCAAGGCCACCGACAAGCGCACCGCTCCCTACATCTTCCGGGTAAGAAAAAAAAAAGCATTTCCCCTCACACCGCAATGACGTTTTCATGGGAAAACATCAACTAAGCGTGTTACTTGACTCAACACACACACACACACACACACACCCGTGTTACTTGACTCACCACACACACACAAACAATTAATTATCGACTTATAGGTTATGAATGTACATTTTAAAATAGTTCGTTTAACGTGTTACGTCAGTTTTCACGTCAAAACTTTCACTTCCGCATTTGGTAAAAATCAAAACAAGCAATTGCTTTTGGTTCACGTGACTCGCGGAGGTCTTGTTTTAAATCCTAAATCTTTCTAAACACTTGGCCTTGTTTTCTTTGTCAGTACTTTTTGTGTTTTTACTCTGTGTGAAACGCGGCAAAGTTACGTAACGCGTAGATTTGATTAAAAAATACAAAATGACTCCGCCCGTCACCTGAACCGGAAGTCAAACTAATCACTTCCGAGCGTGACACGTCATCGTGTTTTTATGTGATAAATTGCCTTGTTAAAAATTGAAACTTATCACATTTAAAATGTGAAAACTGTGAAAATTGTGAAAAAATGTTTAAATCACCACGTTACATGCAATTCATCACGTTGAACTTTATTTTTCCTGGCATAGGAACGGAAGAGTAACTTGCGATATTTTGCCAGTCATGACATCACGATACGGCAAAAGAAGGGCAAAACCTATTTTAATCCCAGGGATGAGAATCGAAGAGTACCCCACAATATCATAACAGGATTTTGCTATTCTTAAAATCATGATCTTTTGATAATTAATATGCGGGGGGGGGGGGATAGCCTATCATGATAAGTATGTGAGAAAACAAAACAGTGTCATTTTATCATATTTGGATAGTTTGCCGACAAAGATATTGCGACGCGGGAATGACGTGATGACGGAAAGCATCTATTAAGGCAATGAAATATATTTCAATATTGTACCAGGAATTGTAGCATGATAAGTGACAAATAATATATTTGGGAAGGGGCGTGGGGGGTGGCATCAGGATATTTCAATAAGTGAACCTATCTCATGAAACGATATTTGGATAATTTGACAATGCTGTTATCATAATATGGTGACAATCATATTATAGAAAATACATGAATGATATGATGTAAAAGAAAGGAGGAAAAACATAATAATTCAATATTAGGGGAGGGAAAAATAAAGTGTGATATGGTGACAATCATATTATAGAAAATACTTGAATGATATGATGTAAAAGAAAGGAGGAAAAACAATAATTCAATATTAGGGGAGGGAAAAATAAAGTGTAAATTGTGATATTTTTGCAATATTTTGACAAAATAAAATCCTGATATTGAAGTCAAATCGTAAAATACATATTTGGGGAGGGGGGGCGTGGCCACTACTGAAGAGTCCTCAGAAACTGAAATGGAACAAAAAGAACCAAATCCACTTTCAACACGAATTAGCAACGTGAAAATAAAAGGAAAAAAAGGTCCATTTCCCAAATGGCGACCTGAACGCCGCTAACGATAAGGTGTCTGGTCTTGCTTTTGTCAGGTGGACACGTCGGCCGCCAACAGCACGTCAGAGGGCCTGATGTGGCTCCGTCTGGTGCAGTCGGCCCGCGACAAAGATGAGCAGAACCTGGAAGCCTACGTGAAGAACGGTCAACTCTTCTACCGCTCGCTCAGGCGCATTGAGAAGGACGAAGAGCTGCTGGTGTGGTACGGAAAAGACCTGGTGGAACTGTTGCTGCTCACCGCTGCCAGGGTGCCTGCCAAGAGCAAAGGTGCGATTACGAGCCACTACAAAGCGCTTGCAGAACAACAGTGGGAACTGGTTTCAATCCGTTAAAAATACTGTTGGGAGGTGCAGGTTTTGGTCACTTTGTGAACTAAACTCTGAGCAGGGGCGGGCAATTCCGGTCCTGGAGGGCCAGTATCTTGGTGGTTTTATACGCCACCCTGGTCCAACCCACCTGATTCGAATGATCGGGATTGTTATCCAACTTCTGCAGAGCCTGGAGATGATCAGAACATTCGAATGAGGTGGGTTGGAGCAGGGCGACATAAAACATCCAACCCACGAGGACCAGGATTGTGAATCCAAAAATACCGGCAGCCGTAGTTTCAGGTGTTTGGCAAAGAAGGAGAAATTGTAGGTTTGGTCGGTGAAAGTATGACGTGTCATCAGAAAGTAACGATGATGTCTTTCTCTTCAAAAAGGTTCATCCCACCACTCGTGTCCGGACTGCAGTCAGAGGTTCCAGTTTGAGTTCCCATTTTTGGCGCACCTGCGCTTCCGCTGCACCAAAAGACTGCAGAGCTTGACGGGAGCAGACGAGGAGCCAGGCAGAGAGCGCAGCCCGGAGCGGCAGAATACGCCGA